CACAAGCTATGAAACCCCCCTCATTCGTTAGTGCTGCGTTGGTGCCGGTTTGTGCCGTTGAAAGTAGCGTTTGTGCTGCTTTCGTTCCCGAGATACAGCGCCTTGATTTTCGGGGGATCACGTGATCTTCCGCGGTGACTGTGACCTCCAGTGACCCCGTCTGCCGAGTTCAGGCGCTCTGTTACCCGTGCGAGAGGAACAGTTCTGCAATTGTGTTTGCATTTCATATCAGTGTCTTCTGTGCGTTTGTGTGAACAAGAAAATTACTTTTGTCACCAATGTCACACCCTAATCAGAAGAGCTGCGGGTGTAGTCTCAAAATGAGAACGTTAGCAAACCATAATATTGTAACGCAACGGGGGCTCAGGCGGGCGCCCTTGCCACATTAGGTCAGCCCCCCACCGTCAGGGGCTCGAACCCGGGACTGCCGTGTCTTTCTGCAGCGACCCAGCCCGGTGAGGCAAAGAGAGATCTCTCCACAGCCCAGTAGCTGTGGTCCTGCTATCACAGGGAAGGGCGGTGACGTCACCTGCTCTGGTACGCCGGCTCTTACACAGTGCCTGTCGGCCGTAAGCGTTACAATATGTTCTTATCAAGTATTAATGTCTTAATACTTCATAGCGGTGTCCTTTTTAAAAAATCTGAAGTGATCAGTTTCTCACCGTCTGCTCCTTAAGTAAACACGCGCACCAAGGGACGCATCGAGATTCGACGGGGTGAAGGGCCTTGCTCAGGGGCCCAACGGAGTAGGATTCCTCTGCCGGCTGCAGGATTTGAACCGGCAACTTTCCAGTCACAGGCGCAGATCCTGAGCCACAGAGCCACCGCTCCGCCCCAAAACATTGACACGTGTTGTGTACAAAGCTGAGACGGGTAAATGCAAAACAACATCGGAGAGTTACCGTCTCACACATGCAGACAGCGGCAATATCAGACCAATATTTTTATTTTCACATAACAGACGTGAACATATATCTAAGTACTTTAATAAACTGTTTCTACCCACGTGTTTGTATTTAGGAGGTTCTTATGCGCAAACATGAAACGTAGCTTGAAAAGCTCGAAGTCCCTTTATGTTTGTGTTTCTGGACAATCCCTGGTGTAGAATACAGCGCGAGTGCACACCTTTACCTCGGAAGACACAGTTGTGTCTGTTTCTGGCGGTGACATCACTCTGACGTACATAAACAGCAAAGTTACGACCACCATTGTCACAAGTCAATACCAGCAGGAGTATCGCGGAGTAACACTCAGTTTCTTCCGGGTGGAGATTTTAGGACCAAAAATAAAAAATCTGAGAAGTGCAAAAGCAAGATATCAAATGTTATATGTAAAAAATATATAATTGGGTCATATAATTAACTTCATTATCTCTGCCAGTTAATTGTTTTTTTTCTGTTTGTGATTTGTTTTCTCTTGTATATGTTTGTGCTCCTCTAATTCTATTTGTAAATTCTTTATACATTTCATAAAAATAATTTTTAAAAAAAGATGTCAGGACCAAAAAACAACACACATGTATTACACCAGCAAAACAATAATCTAACATGTTTTGCAAGCGTAAAAAAAAATCTCATGGGGTGAATATTTTTTCAGAAAACGGTTTCATTGCATTTTACTTTTCACTCCGTTGAATTGTTAGAGAATTTTTTTTTTTTTGTTTTTATTGTAACGCAACGGGGGTTCAGGCGGGCGCCCTTGCCGCGTCTCTCTGCAGCGACCCAGCCCGGTGAGCCAAAGAGAGATCTCTCAACAGCCCAGTAGCTGTGGTCCTGCTATCACAGGGAAGGGCGGGACATCACCTGCTCTGGTACGCCGGCTCTTACACAGTGCCTGTCGGCCGTAAGCGTTACAGTATTTTAAGTATTTGATCTTATCAAGTATTGTTCTTAAGAAGTCAGATTATCGACGTTCACATTAAATCACATTTTGAACATGGCTGTGTCGCTAACAAGTTTCGTGTTACGAGCACAGCTACGAAGGCTGCATTAATAGAAGGAGTGTCGCATTGTATAGTATAGATCCGGACCTCCATAGAATCGCAGATCATTTTAGGAAACTTCTATGTACATTATCGATTGTCCCAGCATGACAACTGGACAAATATGTACTGTAGGTAAGCTCATGTACCCTGTGGGAGACTCTTACATACCCCAGTGGGCTGCCCTGGTGGCTGGTAGGTTGCAGGTATAAATCGTGTCGTGACCACCATTGTCAAGACACGATTTGTCGTTTGAGATGCATTCAGTTCTAAGCAATATACAGCGTTTCGCTTTCATCCTCATTACTTTCTGGGGATTTAAACTACTCATCAAATGTTTACACAGAGTGACGTCACGGCCAGAAAAAGCAGGCGCTGTTTTTGAAATGTAGAACTGGACCCGCAATAAAATATAATTCACGTTTTCCATGTTATTTTTTTATTTTGAACTTGAACTGAAATATTATCCAGCTGTTCCGTACAAATATTTTAATTGATCTAAGAAACATTTGTTGGACAGATGGACAAACCGAATCATTAAACCTCGGTTTTCACAAAATTAGAGGGAGCAAAACGGTTTAGCAGTGACTTTACTATAAAGGAGGGCGGTCAATCAGTCGTGAGTTAAAAACCACGTCCGCTCGCCTGGCGGTGCTCCTTCCCCCGTTAATACTGTCTCCCCTGTGCCTCTTTATTCCTCTTCCTGTCTGTGAAATGTTTATTCTTCGTCATGTTTAACCAGAGTAGGACATTTTTTCTGCTCTCCGTCTCCCGCGGCTCATCAGCAGTAACGTAAACAGCTGTCGCAGTTTTTTTTTAAATGTTCATGACCCCTTAAAAGTCGTCACAATATTCTTAAACGTATCTTGATAATCAATTGACCAGTGCATCTTTGAAATGAGGTGTTCGTTATTGGATTTGCAAGAAAGGCATTTTGTTTATATTTTACACTGAGGATTTTTACTCTTTTTTTTCTGCTCAGATTTGGCGAACCATTGAACTGGGCCAGCTTGGACGAGCCGGACCGGTTGAGCCTGTGAAAAAGGTGCTTCGTCCGAGTTGCTGCACTCACAACTATAAGTGTCGGTAGATACAAGTCTGAGAATTATCAGATAAATTGGTCGCAGTCTGAGAACTACTGGACTAGACAGACTGTTCATGTAGGATTATCATTAGATGATCAAGGATATCTTATCAGATATCTTCTCATAGGTTTGCTGAGGGTTTCAGGTGTATTCCAATAAATTGCAAGATTGTAAATCCTTTGCTGTCTTCTATGGAGGACTAATTTATTATTATATAATAAATATCATATTAATAACCATAATATTCTTATTCTTTTGCCCACAGCTGACAGAAAGTTCTCGATTGCCCAGGTCTGCAGTATTAGCACCACAGTCTGCTGGAGACTATGGGTGAGTGCCCTCTGTGTGTAGCTCTCTTCTGAGCACCAGCTTTCTGTGTTAGCGGGTGCTGTGTTTAAAATAATATTTTCTCCTTCCGAGTTATTTTACCCTGTAACTGGGGTGGGTCAAGCCGTCTGTGATGAGAAGCCCCACAGTATAACGCACACAAATGCTGGCCTGGCTGGGACAGCGAGACACTGGGGTTCTGGGTGACTGGCTTCTGTGAAACTGTTCTGACAGATTTCTCTGGGAAGATATTTACGGAATCATACTGGACAGGGGGCATCAATCGAGACATACAATGTAATGGGAAAGAATTTCATTTAGCATCTAATCATTTTTAAATAACCACTGTATGTGAACATCTTGTACCCTGCACCAAGGAATGCTGATAAAACAATCTTTAACCGAGTCAGGATAGGTTACCCAGTGTCACCTTGCATGTAGAGTTAGGAACACTAAATTACATTGGACACCATAACAAACAATAAGAAGAGTAATTACACCTTCATCAGATTATATGGAGAAGTGGTCCAAAGGGATTATGACAGTTACATTGAATTATGCATTGCCTTTATGTAGGTGTTATGTAGGGTCATTACAGCTGTATTTCAGTACGCATTTCCCCAAATCAGTGTATAGCAGCAGAAAAGATAAAGGACATTAAGTTATAGAAATACGTACACGTGTGTTCACCTAAGCAAAAAATTGAAACTTCTCAATGTGTTTGAAAAGCCGTTTTCTGTTCCTGTTGAAGGTGCGCGTTTCCGAATATCTTCTTCTTTTGATTGTAGAGGATCAAACTCTGCCACGTGACAAGTGGGATGAAAATCATGTGAGCTCCTGGCTGAAATCAATAGGAGTAAAAGACGAGTATATTAAGAAACTGCATGAAGCCGAAGTTACAGGACCAGTTCTCAAGGGGCTGACAAGAGACTTTCTGAAAAACGAGACTGGGATGAAACCTGGACAAATACAGCTTCTGCTATCTGAAAGAGATAAATTGTTGGGGTCTACAGAATCGAATAAACCAGAAAAAAAACAAACAGGCTTTCCTGAGAGATCAGAAACCCAGAGGGTCTCTGCTGACCACCAGAAAAAAGCGGGAGGGAAGGGACCACCAGAGGTGGGAGCAGCGAAGGAGCCCAGTCCTGTGAAAGAGAAAAAAGCCCGAAAGGAGAAATCAGATCTGTCCCTTTGTGAGCCCCGGCCTTTTGACACAGAAGACACTGTCTTTAAGTACGTGAAGAACAGAGTTCTTCCACCTGAAACGGGCATCAAAAACCTAATAGCCCCCTGCCGTGAATATAAATCTTTGGATAAAGCTGTAACATTAGACCAAACGAGGCTGCAGGCCAAGTTTGCCTATGAGGTTATCAGGTTTGCTGCAGGTTGCATGAACATTCGGACCAACGGCACCATCCACTTTGGAGTCAAGGACAATATCAGGACTGACTATGAACACGGAGAAATTATTGGTCTCCCTGTGAAGGACAGAGATGTCTTTGTGGATGCATTAGACTACACTGAAAGATGCTTTGCAAATCCTTCTCACAAAGAAGACGCAAGACAGTGTATCAGACCACCGAGGTTCATAGAGGTCATAGATAAAGGCAGCACAGAGACAAGCTGGGTCATTGAAGTAGACGTTGTACCCATGGCGAAGACTGTGAAAGGTCAAGTCTACACAGTGCGTCTGCCTAAATTTAATGAAAAAACCAACAAGGTTGAATTTGAAAAGAAAACAGTCTATCAAAGAGTGGGGGCCAACACAGTACCAATTAGTGATGACGACCAAGTTGAGTTTACTTTAGGAATGCCTGAAAGAGACAGCAGGAGGGAGGAAGCTGAACTGTCAGGTTCCCAGAGTCCTTCAGATATCCGTGAGGATCTGGGTAGAAAACTCACACTTCTTTTGACAGGTGGCAAAAAAAAAATGGACGATTCTCTATGGTATATTGTTGTCGCAAACAAATGTGATAGTGAAAATTTGATAAACATAACTTTCTTGCATCACATGAATATCTTTTGTGTGCTTGATTTTGATCCGGACTCTAAAACCGCAGGACTATGTGGGCAGTATCTGCATCACCATGCAGCCAACTTGCATTTTCTAGAAGACTACTCCAATGAAAGTGGCTTGAATACCAGTGACTTCATAAAGAAGCTGCAGCTGTTTGATCAGACCAGCTGGATATTCTGTAATGGACGCACGGATTACTTGGGTGACAAAAATCCCTGTGACGAAAAGACTTGGATTAAAACCAAGAAAAAGAACCTTAAAAAAGCAGTATCTATAATCTGCAATGAAATTCTTCCAAAGGGCTCCTTTGTTGTGCTTTTTCTTTTAATGTCCCAGGTTGAACAACCATTGGTCGACACTTTCCATGAATTCTATGCTGAAATGAATGGGCTGGAAGATATGATTGTCATCTCAGAGTCCAAAGAAAACTATACCAAATGGTCTTGCCTTGCCCAGGCATCGTGCACCCTGGAACATTTGAATCAGATCAGCATTGTTGGCATGCAAATGAGTCACATTGATACTACAGTTCAAAGTATTCAGCCTTTAACAGCAACACAGATTGATAAACGTTTAGCTGTTTACAATAAAGGACAGTGTACGCTAAAAACTACTGATGAAGAAAGAATGTTGTCCCTTGAAATCATTGGTGTTAATGAATGTGATAATATCAGCACTAAAGGTATTGATGAAGAAGAAGTGAAAAACATTGAAAGGTATTTTTACCAAGGAGGAAAAGTGAGTTGGATTAATTTTTGGCTTGCAGATAAAAAGAAATGTGGTGAGGTGATTCAGCGGGACGCTTATGGAGATGCGATTAAAATAGTGGACAATATTGTAAGGTTTGGTCCCCCCCAGAAGTCAGTGGCTAGAATAAATATATACCACCACCCAGGCAGTGGTGGAAGCACTGTGGCGCGACAAACTCTTTGGAACAAGAGAAAAGATCTCAGGTGTGCTGTTGTAAAGCCTTCTTATCCTGTTGCAAATGTCTGTGAACATGCAGTCTTGCTTAGGGAGTATGAAGAAAAAGACGCAAATCACTGTGTTCCAGTGCTTCTCCTGTTGGAAGACTGCGATGAAGAATATCTTCACGAACTCAGGCATGAATTAGGAGAGGCTGTCTCCTTGAAGAAAATTAATCCTTTGGCAACATGTTTCATTCTGTTAAGCTGCAAGAGATCTCATGAGCCTGAAAAGATGCTCAAAGCATTACCTTTACAGACAGTGGCTGTGACGCACAAACTCTCGGAGGAAGAAAAGAAATTGTTCTCTAAAAAGCGTGAAGTACTTGAACAAAAGTTTGAACCAGAATTTATTCTGACATTTGTGTTAATGAGTGAGGCATTTGAAGAACAGTACGTTAAGGACTTTGTGGAGCATCTTCTACAAGATATTGACCGTTCTTCCCTTGAAACCCGCCTCATCACATATGTTGCCGTGCTCAATTTGTATGTGCAAAATTCATACATCTCTGTGTCTCACTGTGAGGCTTTTTTAGGTCTAGGTGTCCAGGTGGAGAAAATTCGGCAGAGTTACTTCGAAAATGCCCTAAGTAAACAAGCAAGGCTTGTCTTGATACATTTGAGAGAGAGCACAACTTTCATCTCTTCCGTGCGCATAATTCACCCCTTGGTAGCCCAGGAAATCGTCCATCAGCTGTGTTCAAGGCAAACGCAGAGTACAATCGCTATGGCCTTCCTTCATGAAAAGGTCCTGTTTGAACACAGATTCGGACGAGATGATTTTTTGAAGTTTGTGAGAGACCTGTTCATTAGACGCTACAAGAGAAGCAAGGGCGACAACATTGACACTTTCTTTTCCCCACTCATTGAGCACGTCTGCAACGTGGAGAACAACCCACCCAAGGCTATGGAACTTCTAAAAGCCGCCTACACCTGCTTCGGAAAGGACCCTTTTTTTGCACAGCAGCTTGCAAGACTCTACTACAGCCATGAAAAATTTGAAGAAGCCAAAAATTGGGCTGAAGTGGCAAAATCACACTTGCCACACGATTCTTTCATCTTGCACACAGAAGGCCAGGTCTATAAGAAGTGGTTTAATGTAAAATATGACGCGCTGGATAGAGAGGGCAAAACAGCCGAGAACACGGCCGAGATCATTGAAACTGCTCTTCAAGCAGCAATGTGTTTCCGAGCCTCTGAAACTGCAGCAACAACAGAAAGAGACTGCATGAACAATTCTGCCTATTTCGGAGAAGTAGATGTTTGTTGCCGTTTACTGCAGCTCATCTCTTCAGTGAATGTGTTTTCCGGTGAAAATGGCCGTGCAAAGCTCCTGAATTATCTACTCACAGAACACGTTCCAGAAGAAATAAAAGAGCCGTGGAAAAAATTTCACAGTCATCTGAAAGGCTTGCAGAAAAGCATATACAATGCTCTTGAATGGATTTCAGAAGATCTGAGCTACTTTCAAACTGACAAAAGGGAGGAGGAGGAGGAAGTTATGAACAAAGAGTTGGAACACCAATACAACCCCAGGAAGTGGCTTCTGAGAAAAACAAGCGTGTACGCAAGCTTCTTCTGTGAGGATATCTCAGACAACCAGGACCTACAGTCAGAAACTACAGACAAGCTGACTCCCCTCAGGAGACAGATGAGAATTTACAAACTTGGAGGTGGCAATGTAACGACCATCTTTTCTTTACTGTCAGATCAGAAGAATGAAAGGTCTAGCAGAAAGCTGGAACAGATCATAAGTATGTATCCTGAAGACCCTCAGAAACAAAAGCTGGACACTACAAGCTTAGGAAATTACATTTTGTGTCAGATAGCTTTAGGTTGCGTTTCACCTCGGTCTCCAAAACTTGTTACCTTGAAGAAACTTCAGGACCTTAGTGTCCGGTTTTACAAAGACCGCAATAATACATCTCCCTCTAGTGCCTTTTTTCTACTCACTTTGCTGTTTTGGCCTGATGCAATACAAAAGGAAGAGCAAAACGAACAGAAAAATAAAATCCTCATGTTAGCAATTACCTATTTGAAAGGGCTGTATGACCATAAGATCAAGAATGTTCCTTCACGAAAGAAAAGAATCTACACCCACTTCTTCCTGGGAAATGGGAAAGGTCTAGATCGGTTTGTTCACAGAAGCAAGCTCGAGAAGTGCATCAAAGGCACACTCAATGAGCGGAGACTGAAGTGGCTGAGTGGGGAGGTGTGGACGACCCCAGAGGTCACGCAGCTGCTGCAGCGTGTCAAGGGGTGGACCGAGAATGAAACCTTGTATGTTCAAGGATGGTGCAAGAGCAGCAAGATACGGGTCCTCCCTTTGTATTCTGCTTCCCTGCCTCATGCTAATGCAAATGTCTCATTTTATCTGGGGTTTTCTTTCGATGGTCCTGTTGCTCTGCATATTGAATGCCTAAAATGAGTGTCTAGCCAAAATAATGCTGTGCAGGAGGTCGTGTGTGTCAGCCAATTATCAGTTTTACTGTGAATGTTTAAGCCCCTAGTTGGTCACATTGGGGGGGGGCGGAATTAAGTCAAATGGAAATATCACTTACACATTCAATCAGAAAAGATATGTATAGGGTTACATAGATGAAACAATTGTTTTGTTTTTTAAATAGCAATTTTTTCTAAGAACTGTCTGACAGCTAGTACTTTGATGTCTTCCCCCCTTCCTTCGTATATGGATGAGGGACAGCTTCTCTCTAAAATGTCTAGCACCACCCTCTATGTTGGTTCTTTTGCAATGCTGATGTAACCTTAAGCTTTATTCAAAGCATGATGGCACAAACTTTTTAGCTTTGTATGAAGATTACCTTACTTTGTATCACTATGTAAATGTTATTGAAGTACACATGTTACAGTGGACTAATTACTAATATCATTGCTATTGCATTATCAAATCTGTATATACTAAATTTTCATATTTGTTTTTACAAGGTTACAAATGCATACTCCATTCTAAGGGCATTTCTGTTATAAAATGGCATGCTACAACACAAACCTGAAATTCTGAGTTTCTTGCAGTACTGAGCCATCTCCCACTGTCAAATGTTCGCTATAGAGCTGTCAATGCTTAAAATTTTATATAAACAGACTAATATGTGAACAGTAGCTAAATATACTAAATAAAACACTTGTTTTCCAAAAATGTTTACACACTATGAACCAAAATAAATGCCCAGAGAATGTTTACTTACCTTTACTGTCAAATGTATATTGCTCAAAGTGCAACTATATAATCAAATAACTACACACGAACACCATACAGACTAAACTGAACATTCTTCAACTGAGCCATTACTGAATGAAAGATGTGGTCAGTACACTTGTTAATCAGGTTAGTGGTATTAACACACCCAGTAGATAATGCAGACATACAAGTACACTGTACAGTACAAGTGTGTCAGAACTGAAGGAAGAAAGGTAGGTTTGCAGCATTAATTCTATTTTTGGTTTATTAATGACTACACTACAGGCAAAATTGCCTACGTGGTATACTACCAATTTAGCCATTAGCTTTTTGCCTGTATGCTATGAATGTTTAATATTTAAACAAAGTAAACTAAAAACCATTTAAAGGCCATTTATGAATGTTGTTCAAAATTCCCATTTATACAGAATACCCATTTATACGGCAGCAATCTGCATGAAGCATCTTTCTTTAGAACAGCAGCCTCACCCAGACTAGACCCCACAACAAAGCGAGGACAGATTAATCCCACACAAAGGTATAGAACCAGGAGGAGACAGCACGAAAGGAAGCATTCACAGATTCCTTTCAATGAAACCAGATTACCCTTGAGCCTATTCTAAAGAAAAGGAAATAAAGGCAATCACTTCTATTTGCCTGTATTTTATTGTTAGCATTTAATGAGAAAAAACCCCTTTGTGAGAAATTAACCTCCACTGTACAACTTGACAAAACCTGACTCCAGAAATGCAATAACAGAAATGCTTTGCGCTGTCTACCAGTTATATTAGCACTATTTGGTTAGCTTTTGACAACACTGTTGAATATTGAAGAACTTTGAAACCAAAAAAAAATATGCAAAACTCATTTTAAAAATTTTATTTACAAAACGTTTTAACATCCACAGCAGTTGACAGTATTACATCTTGATCATAAAAAACAAGAGGTGACATTCTTCCCTTTGAAGAAGGTTCCCAAATAGTCATCTTTTGGAATCATGACACAAACAGCACTTATGTTGATCTTTATGTTACTTGATACCCTTTAGTTTTGCTTTTGTAACAGACCATTGATTGTAATTTCCAATCAAACACCAGATTGGTTAAGGATCCAATTAAGATCAGCACTGGAATGCCACAGGTGAGGTGGTTACCAGACCAGGGCTTGGGAAATGCAATAAAAAAGGCAAAAGGTCACACTATTTGCTTAAATAGCAATGAAATCCTGGGATGTTGAAATTGTATAATGCAGATATAAACCCCATGTGGACTATGTAAATATGTAAAAAACTGCTGTTCTGCAATCATCCCATAGAATAGTAACCAGATACAGTCCTGGGTTCAAAGCAGTGATAGGATGAAGGTCCTATAGCAGAGGACCTGATTCAAGTGTTCAAAAGTCCTCAAGGGCACCAAAGACGTTGAACTCATTGACGCAGTGAAACAAACCAGAGGATGAATTCAACTACATGAAAGGTCTTAAACTAAGGGCTGGAGTAATTCATTTACACACAGGGTTGTGGGAGTCTGGAACAAACTACCCTGACACATCGCAACCAATACCCCGACCTTCAATAAATGGTCGGGGGATCCGAACCAGGTTATTTTCCCCGACTGCAAAACAAATGAGTTCAAAAATCGTATTTTTGTCATTATGTGCAGACAGTAATATGTGGCTTAAATGAGGTCTTGATTATGACGGTCCCAACGCAAGTTCTGTCCATTTGATGTCCCGTGGTGCAAAACTAAGCACAAGCATCAACAACAAGAATGGAGAGATGCACATTGCAAATGGAACTAATGATAGTACATATAAATGATAGGCCTGAGGTCAACTTCCCCTGCAATTTGGCAAAAAACGCCAAGTCCTTAAAAACATTCAGGGCCTTCAGCTGGTAAAGGTGTACCTGAGCACATTAAGCTGTATGATGCAGATGTTGCAGGATCAAGCCTTGGTCATGTCACTAGCCAATTGTGTCTGGGATTCCCCAAGTAGACACCTTCAGCTGGGTGGGAGAATATCTGTCCTGGGCAAATGGTGAATGCTGTGGTCTCTAGGGGCACTTGAAGGCTTGCAATGCTGTTAGTGGCACATGCACATCGCTAACCAGCACTGATCCCCAGTATTAGGCTGTACTGCCTGTGACTGGTAAGGGGACCAAAGGTCCATGGGTCAGAGGTGCTAGCCTACACTTTTCCATTACTGGTGACCCCACAAATCATGTACAGAGATTAATGTTCTGTCACTGAACCAGAAGTACCACAAAGGTGCAGAAGAAGCGATGTCCTTTGCAAGTCAACACATTAAAAATCTGAGCGAGTCACTGGTTGGTTATGCTCAAGAGATCATCCCAAAACACACGCCAACAGATTAAAGGATGACTATCTGCAATTTTCTCTGTAGAGAAAACAAGACCTCCTATAATTAACACCGCTCAAAATGTACTTTGACAAGAGTTACAAATCTAGACCGCGTTTTAATTTCAGACGAGTCTTTACTTACCCCATTAACTTACTTGAGTGAGGACTGTAGCATGCCAAACTCACAGCACTGCCCAACAGAGCTAAAGCTCCTAAATCAAAGGGACTGGAAGGTTAAGCAACGAAGACCACCCCCCCTCCCAAAATTCCCCCACTAGAAGCAAAAAAAGCACAAGGCCATTAAATACTTAACTGGGCTTAACACTGTACCCATTACCAGTCCTTTAAACAAAACTTTTCTGTCCACTTCTAAAAAGCTGAAATCAACAGCCACAAACTCCAATCCCCTCTCAAACACCATCAGAATACATGTACGCCATTCACACGAAAGCATCCAACTGCACAACTCAGTTCATTCTTCAAAAAAAAGTGTAAAGATTAGGGGGAAAAGAAGTGAAGAGCAGTACAGACTGCAGGGTACTTTATTACGATTTTCAGATACAGAACTTTTAAGACATCAATGAAGCTCAGTACAGGCACCGAACGTTAAAACAGGATTTACGTCTGTACAGAGCTAAAAGTGATGGGTGCCGAGTAATCTGCCACTGCAACAGTTTTCTGAGAAATAACAGGTACTTACAGGGTACAACAAACCTGTACTGCCAGTGTTCTGGGATTTTTCCTTCAATACCAGTATAAAAGCAAGTGCAGAAATGCTGCTGCTACAGTTAACAGAAACACAAATCACATTAGATGGTGAACGTAGGGTTAGGGCTCCAATGCCTCCAATCACTTATTTTTAAATTGCATTTAGAAGCCAAGTTGATTTTAGTCAGCCCCCCCAAGTGTAGTACTACACAATGTTTCAACGGCACCTCTCACCTTTTATCACGAGAGGTTCAGGAAAAGATCCTCAGCATGCTGACAGGAAATTTCAACAATGTATATAAACAGCAAGCAGTTAACAGAGATTGAGTCTATGGGTAGATTAACAGTATTCCAAGTCAATTTATAAAACCTTAAAAATCTGGAGAGAACATCCTTTGCATGCCAAACGTTTTTACTACTTCAGATTGACAGAGATCCAGGGAGCCATAAGCCATAAAACATACCCTTGGAATTGAGCTGATAAGCACTGCACATGAAAACCCAATCTGTCTGCCACAAAAGGTCTTTTCAGTTCATACTGAGCTCAACATTAATAGAACAGGAAGAAAGGTACAGAATTGCATGAATGTCTCCAGATACATAAGTTACTAGATGTGCAAAATGCACAATGAAACTAAGTCATTATAGTCCAATAACTACTACCATTAAAAACTTAAACATTCAGGCAGGTGAAAGGATTTCGCATCTCCTGCAAATTGAAGCAGTCGGAAACGAATGCAAGTAAGATGCATTTCAACCACGTCCTACAGAAAACAGAAAGCCAAACAGGCACCAACCTTGAAGTTGGCAGAAAAAAAAAAAACTTATGGACAATGGTAGTGCTCATCCACCTGTCCATCAGCTACAGCTCTTTAGTCACCCTTCAGACAATCCAGCAGACAGTACACACATACTAAACTGCATATCAACCGTATCGTCTAGCTTTGTTCATCTAAAGCCTGACTAAAAGATGATTTTTAAAATTTTAAACTGTATAGTTTTGTGGTGCTTAAAGCACTAAATATTAATGTAGAGCCCAGTAAGCAAGTTGGATTCCTAAACTGAACACACAAGGGCTTTCACCAAACTTGCTACAAGTTTGGGGACATTGAAATCCAACAGCCACAAAGCTGTGAAAGCCCTTGACATAAATAAAATGGAAAAAAATTCGGACTTGCCTCAGACTGTACAGGGCAACACTGAGACTCTGCCTCAGCCTGTCCCATGGCATTGCTACAGGGAGAAGAGAAATCCTAATTTTAGCAACACAGCCAAATTAATCTTAAATATTACACATGCACTAGAAAGGCTTCTCAAACTTTGTTGCAAAACAATATAAAAAAATCAGGGCTTTTCATGTGATCTTGATTAACACACTCAAAAAGGCACATTAGATAGTTTTTAAACATAAAACATTTATAGATTACACTTGCCAAGCTAAATAAAACTCTGAAAAGTGATTCTCAGAATTTTGCCATTGACCATTCACGTTGTAAAACCTTCAGAAACAAGTGCATGTGTAGTTTAAAAACTGAGAATGTATTTTTCCATCAATTTTAACCTATTTAACTGATAAACAATTATAATTATAACCTTTTGCAATGTAATGGCAAATGTCAAATATTTTAAGTGGCATTTAACATTTAATTCACATCCACATTAAAATTAAAATTCACTAGATATTAAAAGTGTAATCACCCACGTTAGGAGTGCAACTACACTTTTTTCCCCATGTAGAGGTGTAATTTTGTGTGCACCTTGAAGAATATACATCTTGGAAAATGAATGTGTGTAATTTACAAGCAGAACAACTGGTAAGTACACTGGTAAATTACAAAGGAATAGATCCCATAGGAGGAAGGATGGAAAAGTTTAAGAATGGCAACCTCCAAGCTCACATTTCAGACCACTAAAAGTTGCTCTGCATTTGCACAGTACTCTTAAAACCCAACCCATACAGTAATTCAAAATCCAGTTATTCAAAGATGGGGAAAAAAATACTACTGAAATTTTACTGTTCAGATACATTTTTTTATAACCGTTCTCAGCCATTCCAGCTAATTTTAGTCCATCTCTGAAACCAGATTTTAAAACGATCTGAACTAAAGTGAACAGTTATTTAAATGTATACATCAACCTCTGGTTTCAGGGAATTGGGCAGCAAACACTGACCGAAGCGTCTAGGGGTCAAAACGTCCTCACAGGTAGAAGAAAAGAGGACAGCCACTATATTAATTTTAAGACTTAATGTTTTTTCTAGAAACGAAAGTCAAGAAAAGAGATCGCATCTCCGAAGCGAGCTGTACAGTCCCTTTGTACAGGTTACACACGAACATACAAACGTACACGTACAAACCTTAATGACGAGATCCTCCCACGGGTCATGAAAAAACAATCCTCAAGGTTTCATCACATTTTATTACAATAATTTTTTTTACAACAGTACAGAAATCACAAGAGCTACTCTGTGGCCAAAATCACATCTGGACAGATGTGCGATGGTTGCAACATACAAAACAGGTGAAATTACTATCAGAAGCCCTCACCAAGCAATGCTGGGGACAAGACGTCCAACAGCACCTAGGGTGCTGCGAAGGCCTCCCTTTTCAGTAGAACAATGGAATTACAAAAACTTGCCTTGGTAAAGGTGGTTTGCGTTCATGTTACTCCAGCGCCTTCAAAACACTACGAACCATATTTACTATACTTCTAAAAACCTAAACAAAACATGAGAAAAAGAGCCACACAGTATCAGTTGCAAAAACAGATTGTGTGAGTTTTGTTTAAATAAAAATTTTATGTAAGAATGTCCCATGTGTTTCTCTCTCCTCCTCATAGGGCAGGTAGATTATGGTTACTGGCTTGGCTACTAAAACACCACAAGACGAGAAAAGGTTTAATCTCCAAACCTATTAAGAGTTGGCGTTTCAGCTTCAATAGCGACCTCCCTGAGACATTACAGGAGGTCTCATTCCCATGGGCGGTCGGGGTGGCCCTCCTTGGAATGGGGGAACCATTGGGGGCCCCTGCCCATAAGGAGGCATTCCTCCAGGCATGTAGCCTGGCATGCCCTGGGGTGGAGCTCCATACTGCCCTGCAAACAAAACCAGAAGTAATCAACAGCTGCCAGCTCCAGGGTCCAGGGTACAAACCATTTGGAATGTTAATGCCTCAAGTGACCTGTCCTTCCACCTCCAGTTCACACTTAACAAGCCACAAGCGAAAACGCTCTCTGGGCCTTGTTGGCACAGACCGATTCTTTCTTGGCAAACGTTCCAATTGCACAGGAGATGTTCTCGATCCTAGATTGTTTTTAGGGGTGCTGAATGCTTTCTCTCCAGTTGGCAAAGTTTGAAAGGTTTTGCAACTAGCATCAGTAATTCTTGAGTTTCAGAACCGCCTTCATTCAATTATGAAATGAATGAAATATAACTGTAGAACCTGCAACAACTTTTTTATCATTCCCACCAACGTCTGTTCCTCATAAACAGATTGCATATCAAAAGCCTTTTAGGTAGGCAAAGGGGAGCAAATTCTTAATTACACTGGGGAAAAAAACGAAATACTGTATGCTGTGTGCAGAAAAACTCAATTACTTGCTTCAATTCGCACCGTGATTAAGACCCCACTCAGAAAAGGCAGAGACAGAAGGCCCCCTGGACCAGGAAGAGAACTGCTCTTGAGGACGATACCACTAAGCAGCAGCTGGAGACCCTTTTACGAACACTGGGCTTCACCCGATCGGGAACTCAAAACTTCAAACTCCCTCCGCATCAGTAAACGTGCAAACATCTCCTCACAGCTGATGAAAACGCTGTGAATGTGGAAGGGAGCGATCACTTCGCCAACGATGGGGCTTACCATGCATTGGATGCCTCATTCCTGGCTGCTGTGGAGCCATGCCTTGCTGTGGGGGTATCATGCCCCCCATCGGTCCAACAGGCGGGGCGCCCATATGGGCTTGCCCTGGCCTGGGGATATTACGCTGATATTTAGGCAGTTGAGCTCTCCTTTCCTCCTAACAAGGAGAGAAAACACACAAAAAAAAACTTTAGATACTTGATACACACACACGTCACTTGATAAAGAAAACTTCAGCACAACATTAATCACAATCCTTCAGCGTTTCAAAGAAGCTACATCAATTCCTACATTCTATAGTACATTACTTACTGTTGAAGGGCAAGAAATAAAATGCAAGAACTTACCAGTGAAATATCCTCATCAGGGTGGATCAACTTACTAGTCGCACTCGTTGTAGTAAGCGTAGCAGGCTTACTTGTCACAGTAGCGGGTGGTTTGGATACAGTGCTATTGGATGCATTAGTGGTCGAAGCAGTAGACTGTGTGTAAGCTGGGAATGTTGGCTTAGGAGGATCTGAGGAGGTGGCAGGTGTGCTCAGAGGTTTGAAATCGGTGCCAACCGGTCCTGAGACAGCCTGCTGAGCCTGCAAGACAAACGTCCACAGTAAGCCAGCGGAGATCCACGATGGAAAACGACTTTTTTTTAAAAAAAAGGCCTCAGCAAACAAGACACCGCAAGAAGCTCACATTAAAAATAAAATACTTTCCATTCCATGCTCTGCAATAGTGATATTAAAGCTGTAAACGGGGAGCAGGGTTTGAAAAATAAAAAGCTAAAAACTGCACTTATTAAGCACTGCAAAGCTTAATAGGCACAATACAAATCTACACATTCCAGTTCCTTAGATTTGAGCTGGGTATGTCTGGTCAAGTAAGATTGTCTACACACATGAAAAAGACTGAGTGTTCTATAAAACTTCATTAACTTCATAACAAATTCCCACTTAAGTTAATTCACATAACACTGGCATGCAGCAAGTCACAAACAGAAGGCTTCCTAATAAACAACATGTCCTTTGGACTAAGTTAATATGCAAAGCACGTTCAATTTTGAACTACGTTATGAAGGTAATCACACCATTTTGTGACCAATAAATGCATTAATTCAATGCATCACTGATTTCTAAAAGTGAAAGTCTATTCACTGCATGCTACTACTGTTTTTCTTTTGTGAAGCACTAATTTCACAAGTCTCAGTTTATAACCGCAAACTCCTGCGTACTTGTGCCGTGCTAGGGAACAGAGGTTTAGAAGATGCTGACAGAGTGTCGGCACTGGAAGAAGCTGTACTTGTACTTGGAACACGAGTCCCCATCTGTAGTGCAAAGAAAGAGCAAACAATGAAAACCCATTCAAACATGGGTAATAAAACCTTAGCAGTCTGCAGGGTTTTATGCTTCAAATACTTATTAAAGAATTCTGCACTGGACGATCTGGTCATGCAGGAGTAATGAGAATCTTCCAGCCCGCAGTACCTTAGGGAACCACCACACGTATTGCAGCAGTTTTTTTAAAAAAAACTACATTTTAGACAAGCTCCCATTGACAAAACATACGCGATTAAACTGAACTGGTTCACTGCAGCAACTAGTCCCAACTACAGTTCCAAAAAATGTTTCATATTCAATGCTTTAGTGATGCCGCCCATATCTGAACATCTTACAACAACACCTGTGCGACAGATCGCGGGCAGGTGCCGAGAGGCAGGAGCTGGCGTACCTGTCCGGCGCTGGGGAACAGGGGCTTGGTGACGGTGGGCTGAGGTGCAGGGGCGGTTGCCGCAGGCATGGCTGGCCTGTTCAGCACACCTGGTGCCGTGACGGGAGGAGCTTGGGCCATGTGAGACATGCCTGGACGAGGTCCAACAGGGGGCGGCATACCTGCGGGTGCGCACACACAGTCTGAGGAACGCGTCCATCTCAGAGACCATATCGAAGTGCTCAGTGGTACTAACAATGTTTTGAGAGATGAGATGAGATAGACTTTATTGATCCTGAAGGAAAACTGAACTTTTCCGTAGGCCCTCTCCCGTTTACCATTTCCTACAATTCTGAAGACCCAGCTTGGGGTCTGTTTCCATACAGGGAGAAAAAAAAACAGATGTTCAGGTGTAGGGATGCCAAGAGTCACAGCGCATTCCAGTAAAGTCTGAGTTTAACTGACAAAGACGGACATTTCCGGAGAATGCTGAAAGAGACACACAAGGTGTTCTCCCCACAGTGCCCCGAATTACAACAACATTACAGAGGGATTTATAGTCCGAGTCCAACCATGGTCATTCTAATTATCAATATAAATGTGTTTTTGAGCAACAACCAGTTTCAGAGTTTGGCAAGTCATTTCCACATAAAAAACTGGATGCTTATTTGCATGTTACCAAAAGGTTTCTACTCATGACCCAGTGCCCACGGAGGGTGAGGTTATCCCCACCTTTCAGCTGTTCATGTCACGTACAACAACAGGTGTCAGTTTAAAATCTACTCAAGCCAGGGCAGTAGCAATGACCCCAGACCAGAGTCAGATTTCTTCACAGTACAGTTACTTTTTGGCAGGGATCTCACCCTTTCATTTAACTGAAAAGGTCTAAAATGTTTTTTCTTAAAACAAAGCCTTCATAAGTGGACTGACATTTGCCCATCAATTTGCATCTCTTAAGCTAGACCACATTGCATTACATTTCACAACAACTGCTCACCTGGAGGCATACCAGGCATCATCGGGGGCATTCCTGGTGCTGGGGGCATCATCCCACCCATGGGCATCATACTGGGAGAAACGACACGAGAACATTCGAATGCCGGCACAGGAAAAAAAAAGCTGAAATGACCTTATTGAAAGGAAAACCCATCAAAACAAAAACCTGCATCACACCTACCCTGGCGGCATCCCAGGCATTACAGGAGGCATTCCGGGCATCATGGGAGGAACGCCCGGCATCATGGGAGGCATTCCTGCAAGAGGGAAAGTCCCCCAGGGTTAAGGCTCGGGGCTTATCTGCCATTTGTAACGAGCACATTGCAATTCTTAGTCGAGCTTACTCTCTCTGCGTTCAGATAGGCGACGATAAAAGCAGCAAGCAAACAAGATATAAAAATAAACGACGTGCACCATGCAGTGCATTCATCAGCTGGCGGTAACAAATGATAGTCAGTCTTCATTTAGCCATTGTGCATAGCTGGTTAAACAAGGTCAAAACCCATCAGCCACTGCAGCATTAAGAAAGCACAAGACAACAGGATGCGTTCTGTAGGGATAACACCCGTAATTTACAAAATATAATCTAAACCACACAGCACTTGTAATAGCCTACAAACACTGCCACCGCCACATCTGTAATACTACCGCTCTGCTCCGAGTGGAAGAGAATAGAAAACATTACAAGCGAAAAGAAAACTGAGCTATGCCACGACCTCAAGAGCACTGCTTCACAGCCCCGCCCAATGACCGCAATCACATCGATGTGGTCAGCTTCACGGTCAGGACGGGGGGGCTGTGACCGCTAGCGCCTGGTGCAATGCTCTTTCAGGTACGGACGCCAGAGCCGCCCAAGGTCAGAAACACAGCCGGTGGTGGTTCAGAGCACTGATGGGCTAGTACCTGAGAAATTCCCCGGAGGCATTCCTGGACCCCCTGGAACGGGGGGCATCCCTGGCTGGGTCATGGGGGGCATGAAGCCAGTCTGGGGCTGCATCACCTGCTGCTGGAAAGAAGGCCCAGCCTCCTCATCGTCATCGTATTCATCCGAATCATCCTGGTTGTTCTGTTTCTTCTTCTGGCTTTCAGCTGCGTGGGGCAAAGAGATTGTGAGGTTTTGGGTTCCCCTCTCCCTGAATATCAACCCTAACAATTCACTCCTCCAAAACACCCTTTTGGTGCAAAAGGCATTAACAGACAAGTGACAGAATATAGACAGTAATACTCGTCAGTCTATAGTATTTTCAACAGACTCCATGAAGTCCAAGACGCTGATCTTACATTACATCTGATAAAACAGTTAACAGAATCTAAAGACAGCACAGCAACACCACTGACATGATACATTACTTAATTTATGATCAATACAAAGAAACAAAAGAGTAAATTAATGGAAATATTTATATTCAGTAAATGGACAACACAGAATATTAAACATTTTGATAATTGCCAATGAACAAATGTTACCTTGGGTTTTTTGTTCTAGTAACCTCCTCCTTTCTTCCATATCTTTTTCCGGAATACCTTCCATGCCATAGATTTCCAGCTCGATGTCTGTCCTTCCGGGTATCGCATTGGGAACACCATCTATAGTCTCCTTGTGAACCTGAGCGGAAGGGACCAACATGCTAAAAGACACAGGAGCTGCAGGCCTGAACACAGCTCTTGTCTGGCTCTGATCACACCAAGTCAACATTTGTCAGGCAAAACAAAACGGGGGTTCTGACCCAGGGTTCCAGGGGCTCCCACACCTGATCGTTCTTCTTTATGCTGAGCTCTCAGTTACATTATTAATGAAACAACAGGATTAAGTCAAGTTACAACTTATTTAAACCACCCTTTGGTCCTAAACAGCCTTTTAACTACAGCATGCCAATTTAAATACCTTCAACCTAAAATGAAGGGAAAACAGCTTTCCAAACTTTCAATCAAGCAAACTTGTTAGCTCGCTGCAGGTTCAGACTGAGGGGAGTGCTCTGCTTTCCCTCCCCCCAGAACAAGCAGGTACCCAAGTCTCCAGGAACAGCTCAGACAACCCCTGCAAAATCACGAACAAGGCTTACCTGCATACAGTGGATGGCTAGACCCGGACCTGTATATAGTTTTTTATGACATATGTGACACTTGAAATGCTTTGCCTTCTGGTGCTGTATAAGGATTTTTTCATCATCAAAATCTCTGTTGCAGTACCTGTGCATTGCGGGTTAAGGATAGCTTTTTACCACAGAATATCCGAAGCGTACAGAAGGGTCAGTAATTAACAACGAGACCAGAATTTCCATGCAGCTTGAGGGTTAAAACAATGCAACACAAACTTCTGTGGAGGCCAGCCAGGCAACTTTGGGCGGTGGCTCTGTGGCTCAGGATCTGCGCCTATAATGTTGCCAGTTCAAATCCTGTGGCCGGCAGAGGAATCCTACTCTGTTGGGCCCCTGAGTAAGGCCCTTAACCCCAGCTGCTCCACCAGCGACAAAGAAATTCCTAAAGCAAGAAATTGTATGTGGCTAATAAAGTGATTTTATGGTATCTACCCAGAAACTCGAATACCATACTAATTTATTTGGCCGATAATCTGTCTGCAATCCAGCAAAAATAAAGGAGTCTACAGAGGCAACAGGAAACAAGCGTTCTTTGCAGAATAAAACAATAGGTTTGTTATGAAAACACCACCCTGTACCAACACGCACACGGGTACAACATACCAGGTCGTAACCGCAGATTAACACATAACTGGACCGGTCTTTACCGCTGCTGGATATCTTCTGTTTCTTTAAAACATTACAAAGAATAAGAACTATAAACAAATGCGATATGTGCACAGTAGGTTATTGTCTTTATGTTATTGCAGACACCAGACCAACGCACATAACTTGACATTACGCAGTAAGGGCAGAGTTTAGATGCCGTGCATGTGCTGGACAGCCAGAAGATCATCACATGCTGAGAAAGGCGTGCAGTACGGTGCTGCGGCGTGACTTCCGTGCTGCAGCAGCAGCAATGACGCGGCGTGGAGGAGAGGCCTTCCCGCGCAGGCGCCAGGGCACGCGAAACGGGCTCTTGTAACCCAGAGGCCCCGGGCGCAGTCAACACGACTTGAAAACTTTGCGCTTTTATTTAAACACGTAGTTTTCACAAGCGCAGCCGCCCGAACCCCCCCAAACGCCCACAAACCAACGCGAGGCGGAGGTTCCCCTGCAAAATGCTGGGAGCCGCGGGGTCCCGGCGCTGACCGCACCGCCCACGCCTGTTGATGGACCGAGTCAGGTCGTTTTAACCCTCCCGCGGCCCACGCCAGCGTTATTTCCCGAATATGCGTTTTAAAGTCAGCCCGTAGTAACACGCCCCGCCCTGCTGGAAGTCCAGGCTCTTCCGAGTCTAGCCAGGAGACACTCCACCGAAACACACCGGCGACAGAGAAAGGCCGCCGCCCCGGTGTTACCAAAGTACAAAAAGGCGCTCCCGTTAGAACCACGTACTTGAACCGAGGTGTAAATCCACCGGAAAATAAAAAAGAGAGAAGCCTTTGTCCGTCACTCCAGGCCCGGATGAAAGGCGCTGTAATGGCGGCCTGAGAACCTCAACCGCACCGGGCTCTAGAAATACAGACGAACATTCTCTCGGAACATAAACAAACCACACATAACAATAACAGTTCTTTCAAAAGGATACCAGCACCACGGCTTCATCTGCTTCTTCTTCTTCCGTCCCATAGTTTCCTGTCCTCTAGTTTTGGATAAAGCCGAGGGAAACGAAACGACTCACCGCAACAGCAGCAGCAGAAGCAGCGCCCTGAGAAAATGGCGACTAACCCTCGGTTTCTCCCACAATGCCGCGGGCCGGACAATGGGCCCTCGCCCGTGACGACAGGGGCCCCGCCTCCGACACATGCGCAGACCCGACAGCAGCCCTGCGCCTGCTCTCCTCGCGGGACAGATACGAGTGGAGATATTTCATCAAATACCACAAGTGAAGGAGAAACAAAAAAAGACCAAAGGAGCCTCAGAATAATATTTTGACAGAGACAATTACAAATTGAATATGTTTTCTACACACTGTATATTAGTGCTCATGTATATTTATAAATGTAGGTATGTTTATACATATATCAATGTTTATGTACAGTATGTTTTGTATGCATATGTTTATGTATAAGGATATATGTTTTAACATATTTTTGTATTTTAAAAAGTATTGAATTTCCACCTTATATTAAAAGAGGGAGGACTGTTGGACCATTTTGACTTGTATGTTTAATCTAGCAATTATCAGGTACAGATTGATTATAAATACATGTTCTATTTGCAGACGGTATCTTGCAAAAAATAACGAACGTCCAGCTCCTTAAATGTAATCTTGGCAATGAAATACTTAAAAGATATTCATGTTTATCCAAAACAATTCTGTTTATATACGGGTAACAAATAAATGTCAGAGCTTCGTTTCCTGCCCTACAGAACACACATAAAATCATCTTCTCCGTGTTCGAATGGATACAAGAGTATATTCACCCCGGCTCAGTCCGCTTGTCCTGGTCAGGGTATCGCAATCACACCATGAACTTCAATCTTAAAAATGATACATGTCATGAAGGGTATCGATTCCTGACCTGTCCTAAAACAATCTCTCTCACACCTTCCCCCTTCTCTCAACAACAGACTACTTTTCTTCTAAATTCTCTCTATTCATTGTAGGTTTCATTTCACACCTCTCTTCACCTATCCTGACTTCACACCTCCTGATTAGCCTCTCTGTCTGTCCCCTGTTCCCACCCCTCGCTCCTCCTCTCTCCCAGCTCTTGTTCTCCTGCTACATCACCTTTGCTGACTGCCCTGTCTTTCTCACACCTGAAGAAGGCCGAAATGTTGTGTTTTCTTTCTTCTCCTTTCAGCAGGGAATAAACCTGTTACTTGTTCCTTTGCAGCCAACGCATGCTGACACAGCTCCCCACCTGAACTACCTCTCCAATAAATCCTGTCTCGGGCCTCCTGATGGAGCTCATTTTGTTTGGTTCGTTAACCACATACGAATGTTAACCATGACATCCCTTCTACCCCCATAGACAACAAGCTGGCCACAAGGAGCTACAGCTCATTGTTTTAGCTTTACAGGAGCTGAAATATGTCCAGGCCCACAGCTGCACAACCAGGTAAGTTCTGAAAGTGACAGAAAACACAAATACAGACTGGAGAAGAGCACCACTAGGCAAGGGAGACCTAGTGGTGCTCTTCTCCGGTCTGTATTTGTGACTGAGATACTCTGGGGCGGACTGAAGGATTTCAGATCAGAAGAAACATTTCATACGGGAGGGAGCCATTAAGCCCTCCTAGGTCTTATTTCAGCAAATAATAAACCTATTGAGTGTTTTTATCATTTTGTATTTTACAGTTGTTATTTCTTACTTTGGCTAGCAGTTGAAGAGGTTGGGTATTGCTAGATGTGGGGTTCAATACAAATATGTCCTTGGCGTTCAAGTGTGTTATTACGTACACTGCCTTTATTCACTATTTAAATATTCCAGCAAATAAAAGTTTTAATCCCAAACTATACTCCGGAGTTTCAAAAGAAGACATATTAGAATTCTCATATCCTGCTGCGCCAGATTTATTTTACAGATGGAAGATGCATTACGTAGTTTTGAAATCAAAACAAGATTTTATATATCTCAAACAGAGATGACATTACTGGAGAGGACGGCAAATTGCTCTTCAGAAAAAACAAACGGAACTTTGCGTCATCTGGAACCCGTGAAAGGGCATTTATTTCCAACCCGGGATTTGAAAGTGGCGTACCGATAGCATCAGTGTTTACGCTGACGAGACGAGTTGTCTGTGAAGTAAATACGTCGTTCCAGCTGATCGTTCTGAAGACGCACAAAATGTTCACATCTCAGACCTCCTTCCAGGATTCAATAGACGGCGACGAAAAAGATGCGGATCTGGACAACGAAGAAATCCTGGGATACAGTTTGAAACCGCAGCATTTAAACTGTTACTATTCTCTCTATTTCTACCAGAGCTCCAGGTAGTATATAACCCAATACGAATGATAGCCAAAACTGTGGATAATGTAATTGAAACAAAAATATCGGTTTTGAGGCTAACACTCTTTTTAATTATTCATTCACGAAACTGGTCATCAGAACTCGGAGAATTACCCGTTATAAAAACATAATAAACCCACGGTGTTTATTTAATAAAGATATATTGGGTGACGTAACTATAAATGACTGGACCATATGGCATTTTATGATGAACTTTTACATAACAGAGTGTTTTTATTATTGATTCTTTGATTTTACACCTGATTGTTTGCCATTTAATGAGATAATGTGCATTCAAACTTCGATCTGTTCTTGGGTGGGCGCTTTGTGTATGAAAGTCCATTTCAGCAGAAACCAATGTGTTATTAATCGGAAACCATAAAAAACCGCTAAGTCCCCTTTTGTTTTGTTTTTTGTGTGAAATGTTTAAGACCCATGTAAATAATGACGCTACTTGCAATAACTGAGCCTGCCTTCAGAGTGGATGCGAGTTCGTGATGTTTATATGTTGAATGTTGTACTGTGGTCAGCTCCTCTGGCCTCGTACCCGAGTCAGTGCGCGGCTGCCGGCCCGCAGTCCAGCGCACGGGATCACACTAACTGGCATGGGGGACTGTTGTCATAGATCTCAGAGAACAGAAGAAGACACTCAGACTAGGAGCCACAGAAGAACAGAGTCCACAGGTCATCATGACTTTAGGTAACGAAGGCAAACTAACCCTGTTTCAGCCATGTGTTCAGGTGGTGTGTGCCAAGATCAGTTCTCAGTTCTTTCCGTGTGTCACAGGCAGATGAGGCCCCAGAAGCCTCCTTCAGCTCCACGAGGACTGGAGCGTCACAGCCCATGTAATGTGCGCTTCTGGGGGTTCTGGAGGGAGAGGTTACATTGAATCATTGCATCTCTCATACACCCAAGGAGGTCTGTCTGTATGCTGCTTTTGTTGCAGCTAGCAGTCACCTCAGAATCCTTCACGTTTATGACACAGACGTGTCTCGGGCAGTGTTTGTGTGTCCCTGTCTTTGTGTGTGTGTGTAGTACTGGGGTTGGGGAAATCTTCAGACGCCACCTGTCTGGTACGTCTGGCCTAGCACTGAAAGAGCAGGGCACCTATGGGGGAGCCAAAGCCTCTGTCACCGTGGGAATGGGGGACAGTAATTTGTCCGTTCTGTATTCTGCGCGGCGGTCATCCCCAGTCCCAGAGAGCCTCTTTCAGTCACCAGCAGCTGGAGACCTGGGAAAAACTCAATAAGCTGAAGCAGAATCATGTGTATAATGAAGAGCTGAGGCGGAAGGAAAACCAGGTGACCAGAGGCACCAGAGTTGTGTCCCCCGGGCCGGGCGATTCCTGACCTGTGTGTGCCGTGTCCCTGCAGTCTGTCCCTGGTGGACGCCAGCCTGCCTGCCGAGGCCGAGCCAGAGCTGCGCAGCTACATCTCTCGGCGGCTGAGCAAAGGCGCCCTGCTGGGGGGCATGGGCAACATCGCCACTGTGGAGCTGAGGTACGGGCTCGCCGTCTCCGCGGCCGTCGCTCAGAACGCACACGGACACCCTCTCGAGCTCCAGCGCGGCTCCCAGCCCTGCAGCCAATTCGAATCCACTTCTTTCGGCACAAGAGGGGTGGTGGGTCAGGGTTGGTCCTGTCCTGTTTGAATGGCCCTGGGAGAAGATCTCAGGCTTGTCTCTGTAAAGTGAGATTGTGTTGGCCCTGGTCTCCCGCAGCGTCCCTGAGCAGGCGGTGGGCTGCTACTGCTGTCTCCTGGAGTGGGACAGGCCCGCGGAGCAGGCCGGAGAGGAGGAGGGCGGCGGTGCCGACTACGTGGTCTGCTTCCTGGGAGGGTCTGAGAAAGGCCTCAACCTATATCCTTTTCAAGCTTGGCAGGTGTCTGTCTGGAGAGCGGCGAGCCTGCTACGGTTTAACCCAACCCAACACAAGACCCGAATATGTACAGTGGATATAGAAGTCTACACACACTTATTGAAATTGCAGGTGTTTGTGATGTCAAGCCAGAAATCAAGATAAATCATGTCAGACATTTTTCCATCTTTAATGTGACCTTGCAACCAACAAAATTCAAGAGAAAAACAAATAGATAATTATTAGGAAAAATAATTTAAAATAAAAAACCTACAACACCCTGGTTGCAGAAGTGTGCACACCCTTTTATAATGGGGGGCTGTAGCTGTGTTCAGAGTTAACCAATCACATTCAAAATCATCTCCAAAGGTAGATAGCATACACCTGCCATCAGTGCTTTATTGATGGGAGTTAATTAATAAATAAGTGGTTTATTAGCTTTTGTTTCAAGGGATCTTTTTCCTTAAAAAAACCTTTACATTTAGACTGGAGCTGGACAAATACGTTCAGGGCCTGCAGAGCTGCTTGAGCCCAGAGGTGAGGCTGAACTCCACTTGTCATGTCGGTGCACAGCTCTTGTATAAAATAAGACCACATGAATAAAAACACTGAGCTCATGAAGACGGACAGGAGCCTGCAGTTCCTAAAGACTGGTGCGGCACTATCCAGAGTGAGAGCCTAGCAGAGGAGTAACGCCTAGAAAGTCAGACAGGTTTCAACTGAGTTGAGGCTGTTTGGCCCATCTGACCCTTTTAGTATTTGGCAGCTGAGTGATTACCGAACCTCATCCAGCTGTTTCTTGAAAGAAACCGGGATACCGGCTTTGTCAGCGTGGCTCGATAGCTTGTTCTATACTCTCGCATGTCACAGCCCCGGGGGTGAAGTGCCCCCTGTTTCATTGGTTTGAAATGCACATGCACACATTTCCAGCTGTGCCCTCTGGTTGGTGTCGCACTGGAGAAGTCCTCCGTGTCGGGGAATTCTGAAAACAGTCGTCTCTGTCTTGGACAACCGTGCTGAGGCAGAGAGAGTCACTGTGAAGCACGAGACGAACCCTGGTGAAGCTATGGCAGAGCAAAGCAAGGGTGTCCTCTCAGCTGCCTCTGTCCTGCAGATGTCCACTCGGGAGCTGGAGAGCGAAGTCAGGCCGTACCTGAGCCGCTGGTATGAGGAGTCGGTCATGCACATCCATAGAGTGGTCCAGCTGGTGCAGGACGACATCCGCCTCCTGCTGCACGCCGTGAGTCACTTCCTGACACTGTCCCTGGTGCAGGCCCTGAAGGAGTCACTGTGCAGCACACTTACCTGTCTACCCATTCAGAACTTGCTTCTCACACTCTTCCTCCTACCGTATACATGGAATATATTACATTATAATTGTATCACCTCTGTGTCTTTCAGAACCCTGTGAAATTGTTCTTCCTTCCCCTTGATCTGGAGGTTAAGAATGAAAGTTTTCCATGTGTGGTGTTGGAGGGTGTGATAAAGAATTGGTCCACAAGGGGGCCTTATCATCATCCTGCAGCACTACACTTTATTATTATACTGTAGCTGTGCATGTGTGCAGTGTCCTGAAAAATGCACGCATGTATATATAACTACCCTCAAGCCGGTCCAGGCTGTTAGTGATTCCAGCTGTGGATAGAGCTTTAGTTAAAGCAGCCTCTTCATATTCTCATGTTCATGCAAGCCTGCAGATTGATTTAAACCCCCCTGTGCTGTCTTTCTGCAAGGCGTTAAGTCACACCCACGTGGAAGTAACTGGGGCAGACGAGAGAACCCAAATGGACATTGCAAGGTAAGCAAAGGCATTAATTACGCAGAGATAAAGTTCTTCAGTGGCCAATTGCTTGAAGAAGTCATCAACGCAGGGCTGGGGGGAGAAGTTGGTGGGTGACCTAATGTCAGGAGTGTTTCAGTATGCATGTAACAGATCTGCTCAGTGCAGTGCTCCACTAGATAACAGTGATATCATCAGTCTGCAGCAAAGCACTGGGTCAGGCAGCCAACGCTGACACTGTCACTGCCAGAGAGTCCTGACACATTAAAATAAGCACGTGTTGCACGTTTTCAGCAATAAAACGACGTCTAAAATCTGCCACAAGTGTTTTTCATGTTGTTCTAACTCCAACATGTGTGTACGCCATTTTTTTTTCTCAAAATGAAGTGACCTGGGTGAGGTAACAGTCCCCTGACCTGTGATTTCAGGTTCCTGAAGGCAGCCAGTCTGCAGGGCCTGGTGCAGGAGGAGAGCACGGCGGCCTCTCTGTGCAAGGCCATCTCTGAGGAGGCCCGCAGGGACCTGCTGATCGACTGCTCCCGGCCGCAGCCCACCTTCAGCCACGCAGGTCGCTGAGCATCCCGCCGTGTGTCGGACCTCCGCCAGGCCTGCTGCGCCTGTCCCCGGCCACGTCAATATGACCTCTAGGGCCTCTTTTCTGCTAGAAATGACATGCAGTTGGCTCAAAGGGAAGATGGTTCCGCTTGATTGGTTTGGTTTGGGAAGAGCAGGCACAGAGGTCATTGATGTTGTTCACTTCCAGCTTCACGTTTCTGTTGACAATAGAATAACGTGTTTGAAGCTGTGTGTATTCTTCCATGCACACAGTTCCAGGAGAGCGTTTTTCTGAGCTGCACAGCCCTGTGTATCTGTTTATTCACTGTGTGCAGTCCAGCTTTCAGCTTTCCGGTAAGATCAGTTGAAGCCAGAGATGCACCACTTAGACTGGGTCCAGTGTCCACCTGGTCCCGGCATTGCAGTTCTCAGTCCAACTGGTTCTGGTCCGTGTCTTCCAGCTACGAACCGGTTCTGTGAGGACTGGATCCCAGCGTTCCGGAACGCAGCGGAGCGAGGCAATCCCTTCCTGCTCAGGCAGATCCTGGAAAACTTCAAACTCAAGGTGGGTTTTTTTTAAGAACACAACAGCTTCACGTCATTTAAAAAAAAATGTACGTTTCCAGAAACATAAAAAGGCATCTTTCTGAGAGAAGGGTTTTGAAATAACAACATGAGGTGGACTTGCTTGTGCGAGACCCTCCTGTAGCTGCTGCTAGCCGGGTTTCCCCTCCCTGCGCTCCCAGGCCATACAGGACATGAACCACCTGAAGAGGCTGATCCAGCAGGCGGAGGCCAGCCACTACGCGCTGTTCCGGTGCTGCGTCTTCCTGCGCAGCTGCGGCAACGGCGACGTGCTGCTGCAGAACGCGCGGGCGGAGCACAGCGAGATGCCCGAGGCCGGCGGCGTTGTCCGCGCGCTGGAGGAGTTCCTGCACGAGCAGGGCCTGGCCGGCCCGCAGTGAGAGGGGGCAGGCACGCGCCCCACGCGTTCCTCGAGCCCCAAGCGCATCCTCCTCCGGCTCCCCAAAACTCTCCTCTCACAGAAACACAAGCGTTTAAACGGCTCTGTCCCTCACCTGCAGTATGCTACTTTTGCTTGGGTTTTGAGCCTTTCACATTCCCGAAACGGGAGACGAGGTTCTCTGGAGCAGGAAGCCCTGCCGGTGGGCTCGGAGCGACGCTGCGGTGCAGTTGTCTCAGGAGGGCTCTCCAGCCGGGCGGCACTGCTGCAGACGCGGCCTGGGCTCGGGCTTGTCCCCAACACGGCAGTCAGAAAGTATCTAGTCTCCCTGGCACAGAGACAGTAGCTACAATTCTTGTTATCCAAAGCTGTTGTTATTCAATAGCAAAGTTAAACATCCCATTTCCCTCTAGTTTAAATAATCTTGCTTAATAAAAAGACCCAAGCATGAGCCACAGACCTGATGTGATTCCACACTAACAATCCTAGACGAAGCTGCTAGAATTCATCTTGCTGATTCGGCACTTCCCCGTTTTCCCTTGACCTAGAGTTCATGTATGAGGGAATGATTTTTTAAACAGAGCCGAGCTTCTTGTTTTTCTTATTTTTTACAGCCGCTGTAGTCATTTGCTTGTTTCAGTGCCACTGGCCCCAAGAGCAGGGTCATGTATCGAAATACGGGCTCGGCGCTGTGCTCGCAGTGACTACTGATGAAGGAAATTTTGTGTCTTGTAGCACACCGCTGGCAGTGCCCCCCCGTCATTAGACTGCGCTCTGTGTGCTTGGCATCTGTATACAAATGGCCAAGTCTGCGTGTCTTGTGACTTGCCGTAGGTGTTTTTGTGAGACATGGAAGGGTACATAAGGGTTTAAAAATGAAATGAAAACCCACAGCTGAAGTTGGTGTTCCTGATTGTTCTGTACTGTATATATGTTTAAATTGTGATTTAATGTTGATTTGTTGCGTATTTTGCAAGGTTATATACATATACACAAGGTTGATTTCAAGCTGCTTTACATGCACTACGTTTTAAATGTCTTGTATAACTGTGATCGCCAGTCAGTGTACAGTAAGGGGATGTGATGAGAGGTGCACCAGCAGTCTAAGGATGCATTTTGTAGTGAAATCTCTCATTCTTGAAACTGACAGAGTTGCCATTGACACAGAGGCCCTCTTCTGCACATTGGAATCATTTCATTGTCACATGCGGTCTAACTCGTACCCCAACCTCAGATTATGTTGAGTGAATTTGAGTAACATTTTGTTTGTGGAAGCTAAAAACTCTCTGTTCTAGATCTGAGAAGTAGGTGTTTTTCTAACGTTGCGATCAATGTTTCAAAACAGTCTGTCCTGGTAAGGTGTATAAAACAGTTATACGAGATGGAAACCCCTTTTCCCATTGCTGCACTGCTGACGTCATCCCGCTGAGCTGGGGCGTTCACGTCATGTAGTACCAGCGTGAGATGCACTACGCCTTTTGCTTGTGAGAAAAAGTGGTGTCTTAGAAAACAAAAAATAAAAAAATAAACAGATCCCAACTGACACCTGCTTCCGTTTCGATTCCACTGCTGCTCAGACTTGAAGGCTGTGTACAGGAGGGCCAAGCCGAGATCGGCGCCGGAAACGTCACGTTCGTGTCGTCAAGAAATAAAGCGCTGCTGAACGGGCGGGCTAATGGACGACAAGGCCAAGGGGGGGAGGGCCGCGGCTGTGCCAATGACAGGACTGCCTCCGCAGTGGAGGAAAGAATCAATCTCCATCAGGCCCTGGGCATAAAGCCGTCTAGGAGGCTGGGCCCCGCTGCAGTGTGCGCAGGTACCTCACCAGCGCAGGATGCAGTATTATTGTGGAAGTAACCCTATAGCAGCCATCTTCATCGCCCCTGATGCATTTTTCATTATTGTCTTTTTTTCTTGTTTGCCAAATGGCTCTGGCTTCCTCCCGTTGCGTTTAAAAAAAAAAAAGAAGCAGCAGAGCCCGGCTCCCTGTGAAAGTGCCCTGCCTGCTGCCGGAATTATTTCCTCATGTCGTTGAGCTCTGGCAGGAAGGCGGTGAGAGTGTTGTGGGGGGGGGGGGCAGTGGAGAATATCGATTTCCTTTTGCGCTCCGCTCCTGTCTGAAGATGCGCTCGCTTCATTGATGCAGAAAGAAGACGACAGTGCAAACTGAAGACACCTGAACGTCTGTTACAAAAAGGTTTAATGTATTTCGATATGTACATACAAATCTACAAATATACACAAGGTGTTAAAAAAATGAGTCAATCTCCAAAGTCGGGTGCAGTGTCATAGCCCTTGTTTGTATAAATATAGTTCCAAGGTATAACGTCTTTTTCTTAAGGTTATTAGTGACAGTATCCAATTAACACACATAACAGGTGTTCATTGCACCACTTGGCTATGAGCACATGCTGTGTTCATTTAGATGGCACAATGTTAAAAATGTTAGAAATGGTGTACATACTGTATACATGAATTTCTGTCTGATCTCCATGGTACTGGTTACTGTGAGGTGAGAAACTGGCTGCTCCCTCCCTACTAGGCCCATGTGCATCCCTTGGCGCAGTAGTTGCATTCCCCTAGCTTTGCAGCTTGGGTGTGATGCCCTAAATAAAACTGCCTCCTGGCACGAAATGCAGACATGAACACCCCTCAAAATTCAGCAAACTTGCTTTTCCAAGATGGGGCAGCTCTTCTGCATGGCAGCGGACAGAATGGCCGGAATTAGAGGGGCAGTTTGCAGCCCTGCTTCCGGAAAAGCCACAGTCCTGCAGGGTGTGCAGGAAGCTTACCCAGGGCGATAGGTAGGCCCACCTGCACAAGACTCAGGCTTACTAGGAGCTTGGCTGAGGCTGAGTGGCACCCCTGCAGAAAACACTGAGAGCTGCCCTGTGTAATAAAAAAACAGCGTAATCCTGCTGGGCTAAAATATCCACTTTCAGATGAGAGATCATTCCCAAAAGCAAAGATGGTGCCAGATAACAGAGCTGCCCATGGCTTCCATTACCTTCTCTTGCAGGTTAAGACATGCATTTATTTAAGTGCATCATTCAGATCCATCAGGGCTGACAGGCATTCATCAGAACTCATTTCCAGTCTACTATTCTCTGTCAGTACCAATGCAAGTCGTTGCATAACATAAAACATTTCCAGAGGCATTTTAAAAAAATAATGAGACTTGTCTTGTTTTTTGGCAATAATATACAATGGTTGACAGGTAAAATGGCACTTTTCGTCTTTAAAATTATAGTCATATCTTCATTCTGGAGGAAATAAAAATATCGCATGCATCTTGTGAATTTCCCCTTCACATTCACGCACACAGACTCTCCCGGGTCTAATTGGTCCTGCTGCTGCAGGCGTTGCCGACACCAGCGAACTTTGATATAGGAAGGCAGCAGTTACATGAGGCTTCAGAGGATCATAAAGTCTTGTGAAGCGAGGCACGTGTAGGAAAAACTGTAGGAGAAAAAAGGGGCCGCTCTCTGCCTTGTGTCCTGGGGGCGTCTGCGGTCACGCCAGGGGACAGAAGCAATGAGATCCCAGAGCATGCAGTCGCATCCTCCCTGGGCTAGCGAGCGGAATGCGAGTCAAGGGTGGGATCACCCTTCTCCAGACACACGCAGCCCCGAAAGACATGCTAGGGTAGCTTATGGCTGACCTGAGTGTTGTTTTATTTGTGGTGGGGGGGGTCTTGTCTCGTTGAGAGCTCTGTGTTTTAATGGAGTTTATAACGGAAGTTCGGGAGGGATGAAATCACCCAAGCTCAATCAGACTCAGCTGTCAGTAATCAGCAATCGCGCCTGACAATCCATTCCTCTCCCGTCTTTTGCCTCCTACCTGCACCCCAGCTCCACCTCTGCAGCTGCCCCTTGATTGCCCTGCGTGGGGGTCCTGGCCTCCTTGTCCTCTGGCCAGGAGGTCGGCCCTCAGCCAAGCAGGTTAAGCAAATATCCGCTCCATAACAGTTCATCACGCTTTGATCTGGGGTGTTGTCGTTCCTAGTGAAAGCAGATAATCACGGATTCTTTTACAGCACCTCCCCGCAGCAAGAGAGCCCCTGCATGGGGAGGGGAGGACCTTTCCACACCCCCTCTCTGTGGCTTGCTCTTTGTGCTAGATCTGTGCTGTGTGTCCATGTTTATGCCAGGCCCTTAACTTGCAAGGGGTTGGATGTGCATCACTGAATTCATCATGCTTGCATGCACCTCTGTGCTTTCCTGCACAACACCCTGCTATCCACCACCGAGTATCACATGTTTAAAAGGGCTACATTTCCACAGACTGAATGAGATCCCAGAATGAGATCTCCTGCTGGCTAATGGTATTGCATTAAGTTATTACTATTATAATAATAAGTTTATGATTATTACTGTAAAGAGCAATGTCTGTGAGAGACTCATAACATTGCAGAAGCTGTGCTGGACTGTGACAGAGTGCAGAGCACCAGACAGGCAAGACAGGGCACAGACATACGCATGACCCCCTAAATAATGGTTATTGCTGCTCTTAGTTGCACCAGGATGAAATAAGCCCCATGTAAGTGCCAAGGTGTGTAAAAGTCAAAGTCCATACAAGATCCTCAGGACCTGTGCTCACGCTGTAGAACAGGACCATGCTGCCCCTGTGAGGGGTGTTTCAGCAATGCAGCAGGAGCCTGGTATTTTGTAATGACGGAAGGAAGTACAGTGCTCAGACCCCTCCCCCTGAGACACCCCCAGTGCATCACCGACGGTACCGGTGGGGTGCAGTATCGTTACTGGGGATCTGAGACACCCCAGTGCAGACAGTGCCAGCGGGTGCAGTATCTCTACCGGGTGCCGTGGCTGTAGGGGGGCTGAGACTCTGGTGGTCTTACTCTGCCCCTGCGGACATCATGGGCTCTGCTGTTCGGGGTGTTTAGGGGCCTGTCAGTCACCGGGGGGAGAAGATGAGTCGCCACCCCTCCCTGCTCACGGTGGGGGGGGGAGCTTGAGGTCCAGCAGGCTGTAGGCGAAGACGTTCCAGAAGATGGCGAAGAGCACGAAGATGGCGTAGACGAACACGAAGATCCAGAAGAGGGACTGCTCCTGCAGCCGCTGCTCGTAGTTCTGCAGCATGACCACGCCCAGGGTCACGCCCACCGCCACCCCGCCCAGGTGCGCCACGAAGCTGGGGTTGGGGCAGGGCGGGGCGGCCGGCAGGGAGAAGCGCAGCCACACGGCCCGGCCGAACTCCGCGCTCACTGCAAGAGGACAACAGGCCCGTCGTCAGGCGGAGCGCGAGGGGCCGCTGTGCAGCAGGGCTGATTCTCATCTTTCTGGGCTCTTCGATCAGCTTTTTTTTTAAATGAGGAAAATTAGCATGCAAACCATGAACATGCCCACCGAGCCAGCGGTCAGCAAGCCTGACAAAGGGGAATTAAGAGTGGTTTCAACGTGCAGGGAGCCCGACGCCTCCTTCATAACTGCTGCCTGGAGAGTCACTGTATGTGACGGCGCGTATAACCCAAGAAATCATTCCTTCTATATAAACAAAAGAAATGGCCCAGCATACTCACTCCACACCAGCGCCATTCCTATCCGAAAGAGCTTGAATTGGCACTTCATCCCCGACCAGTTCTAAGGAGAAAGGGGAAGACAGACAGCTCATTCACACCTCATTCTCAGCCGACCCAGAAAACCAGCACACTCTTGGGGAACACATTCTCCCCTAAGAATAATTTGTCAGAAGCCGAGAGTGAGGGCGGCCTGTTCGACTCTGAAATGGCGCGAGGGTGCCAATAATATTTGGCACAGTCTCCACCCCACCGCCCAGCCCCGGAGCTGTTACCATGACGATGTTGGCCAGATGTGCAGACACCAGGGCGTAGACCCCTGCGGATGACCCCACCGCCGGCGCCGTCATGTCCGCCACCGACACCGCGAGGGAGCCTGCGGGAGCAGCGTGGTCAGGTCAGGTCAGGTCACAGCAGGGCACCCAAAGCACCAGCTCCAACACGGGGCGAGGCACCCCAACACCCGGCCCCGCCCGCGGACAGGTCTCCCCGCGGGGGGGAATTTAGTTCTCTTGTCACAACTTCCCAGGGCCTCTCGCGGGCTCAGTGACCTCCAGCGTCACGGCTCTGCTGCCTTCGTCAGTGTCAGTTTGCCCATGCGAAGGGATCGCAGCCCTGCTCTCCCTGAGGGGAGACAGGATCCCGCATGGAAGCTCCTCAGCTAGCTTTGGGCACTAAAAGGCCAGGGAGGCGTCTCTCACAGTGGTGTGAGCGCTCACCGCTGACTGCCAGGACGGGCCAGTTCCACTGGCAATTCAGATAGCTTCCTACCAGATTCATATCAAACAAATGTAATTGGGAAAGTCTACAGCCGACACACTCGTTTGTTTCAAAACCCTTAAGCTGCATGAAATACTGCTGAGGAGGCCTCTCGGTGTGAGGAGGGACCGGTGCAGGAGAGATGTGTTGGCAGTGCATTAAAAATGACAGTAAATCCCAGTCTTGGAGGTTCAATACTCATTCGTGGTCACATAATCAATGGCTTTTCCCCTGGGTACAGCTGTAAATTCTGTTTCGATCAAAAGGAGAGACACAAGGCACGCAGCAGTAATGTCTTCACCTCGCCAAGGGGGGTTGGTTGCTCCTTATACAGTACCTATGGGACCCCCAAATTGTTAATTGTCTGCTCTGCTCCCCATTTTCAGTGACAAAACCGACATTTCAAATACTGGAATTGAGATTTACAAAAAAAAGCAGAGCTAACCGGCTTGCTTTGAGCATGCCTCAGAGCACAAGATGTTAAACTGTAGTTTCAAAGTTACACAAAGAGCAGTGTACCTATGATTGCCAGTATCTGACCTTTTTATTTCCTGCTTAACAATTCTAAACACGACAGAATCACCCAAACGTCACATCAAGGAGATAACCATCAGGGATATTGAGGGGCGCCCTCACAGAAACCAGCCTCTGCAGAGAGATTAAAATGTCTGACTGGAGTCATTATCCAGTCGTTAGGCACAGATGTCAACCACTCTAATCCTCCCCAGACACCCCCGCCACACCGCACAGAGGTGCAAACACCTCACAGCTGCTCAGAACACAAACAGCCCCTCAGAAATAAAGCCTCACTGAGAATGATCACCTTTTCACCCAGCAGACCTCTGGACAGAGCAAAATCAGCTCTGAGGAGGGTCTTTCAACAGCCTGCAAAACCTCTCCAATAAACCCTGTCTCGGGCCTCCAGATGGAGCTCTTTTTGTTTGGTTCATTAACCAAATACGAATGTTAACCGTGACATCCCTTCTACCCCCACAGACAACAAGCTGGCAACAAGGAGCTACAGCTCATTGTTTTAGCTTTACAGGAGCTGAAATATGTCCAGGCACACAGCTGCACAACCAGGCAAGTTCTGAAACTGACAGAAAACAGAAATACAAACTTGAGAACAGCACTACTAGGCAAGGGAGACCGTATCTCTCGGGCGGACTGAAGGATTTCAGATCAGAAGAAACGTTTCGTATGAGAGGGAGCCATTAAGGCCTCCTAGGTCTTATTTAGACTATGCTAAATAATGAAATATCTGAGAATCCTGTCCAGTGGCAGAAACCAGAGGCGTCCACAGAGTCAGCACCAACAGCAAGGCTGGCGTAGCTTCGTCTGTACCTCCACAATACTAGAGAGAGCCCAGCCACATTGACCAGCTCACTCTGAATGGGATTCACACCATCTACCTGCCCTACAAGCTCTTCGTCTGAAGAATGCATGCTCCTAAACCTCTCTCTGGACTTAGAAGGCTTCCTGGAAGGCTCTATAGGCATCGCTTTAAGGGGTTCTAAAGTCGTAAAGAAATAATCTAGGAACCAGCCAGTGCCCCCAGGAGGTGGATCGATATCTCGTTAAAGCCCAGAGAGCTCCCGAGGGAGAGAGGGACGTTCCCGAACAGGGACCCCAGCTGGACACCCCTGCCCTGGTCCCTGGCCCACGCTGCCCCTCGTCTCCCTGGCGGCTGTGCGGCTGTGGCCCTGAAGCCTCCGCGCCCATATTGACAGAACAGGGATACCCAGCGTGAGGGACTCAAGGGGAATCTCCGACTGATCCCGCCCTCCGGTCAGGAAAAACTACGGCAAACAAGCCAGGCACTCCTGCAGCCCCGGAGAGAGGAGCAGGGATGTAAGGAAGGTGACGTCATACCCCTGGGGCTCGCAGAGCACAGCTCTCCCTCGGCTGGGGACCTGCTGAGGGTGGCAGGTCTGTGCTCGTCAGACACAGGGAAAATCAGGGCTCTCGTTAGCTGGGCGCCCATGCACTGTGAGCGGGGAAAACTGAAGGCAGGGCGAGAGCATGTGATAACAGGCAGCAGGGCTGTGCTCTGGGACTGAGGCTCTCATTATACTGCCCACACATAGAGCGCTTTGCTTTACAACGAACCCCCTTTCATTACAAACTGCCTGCGCATGATTAACAGTGACCCAGGCCTCCGGCAGACAGCTAGCTGATCTCGCGTCAGATAAGAGCTGTGAACAGGGAACACCCCTCCTGTCCCTGACTCTGCAGAGCTGAATTACATCCGTGGATAATGTCGTTTGAGAAATTAATCTGTCCGCTTCTCACTAAAGCCTCCTGACCTAATGAGAATATACAGGACCACGTCTTGCTACTCGGAAACCTCCGACTACAAGGGGTGGACACATGGCAGAAATCTAGTGATTTGAAGTTAGAAAATAAGATGGCACGCCATGCATTTCCATGCATCATCAGCATAAAAGATCTTCATCAAAATCCAGGAAGGGGAATTCAGAAAGGCAGTAACTCTGGACCACCTGTTCAAGACTAAGGTGTCGGCTCCAGCAGACCTCCGGCCCCATGCTGCCCCACTGGGGAAAATAAACTGGCGTATCATGAACCCGCCAGCAGGGAGATTTTCACCAAATGCTTTTCAAACAGCAGATGTTTGGACGTCTACAGCAATATATCACAAGACTGCAGAACCCAGTCTTGCACAGATGGGCTCCTGAAAGTTAAACCGTTAAAACCATTACTGGACCTTTTTAAATGGCCTAAAGAGTGAAGTCAAGTGGTCCTAATCAACCATTTCTGGTTTCCTTGCGTTCACACAAAAGCCTTATGTTGCCTGTTTCTGAAAGTGTACTGCAGTGAACCGTGATAAAAGCACATGGGGGTGTGGGGAAACACAGCGCCTTCGTGGGACAGGACCAGCGAAGATAAAAGCCAGATAAGTGCAGAGTGACCTGAACTGAGCACTGAACTGCAAGGCGGTCGATGCACGTTCACTGTGGCCCTGCTCCTTCTTCTCCGTCATGGGAACGAGTGTGGCCGGGGGGGGCCCGTCGGAGCCCTACCTGCCAGGGCCCCACAGAGGTACACAAAGCCGATCCTCAGAGCCCCGTGCACCATCTCCAGCGGGACGCCCACCAGCAGCTGCAGAGTCACGTTCAGACCCAGGTGTTCTATCCTGGGACAGAGAAACTGCAATTAGCGGAGCTCCCACCTCCTCCCTGCAGCTCAGGACAGTGGCCAGAAGCTCCAGCACAAGCACCGTGCATCAGTCACGGGACCCAGAAAGCATTTACCAGCAGTCACAAACTGCTGCACATGACTGTAGGGCTCTTATTCCACTAACAGGGAGGCTGGGCCACACCTGCACCCTGAGCACGAGAAGCATGGATGGCAGGTGGAATAAAACCGCAGGCTGGCAACGTCTCAGAGCGAGCGGCCTGGCAGCAGGAGGACTGGGGATGAGCAGAGACCCTGCGTGGACTAGCGAAGCCTTTTACACTCCAGCTGCGGCTAGCCCACATATTCTCAGGGGAACAAAGGTTTAATGGGCATCGCATAACAATGATAATAAAAAAGAAGAACAAAGTGCTTGGAACAAAGTCTGAAGTGAGGGGAATCTGAGTGTATAGGGGTTAGGTTTTCAAAGAGCTACTGTTCCACCTCCACAGATAATGAATATTGATTTTTCACTCTCAGTTCAGTATCGCCACTGTTTTCCACAGCAGGAAGCACAATAAAGTTGCATCTGCGATAGCAGAGCCCATTTATTTCTCAGTGTGGAAGAGACCCCTGAGGAACTGCCCCCCGCTGTATTGCAATGGCTCCCTTTGTACAACGCGTTAAGGGCTCCTGGGAGAGGCTCCTGTCTTGTAACTGCTGGGTAGAAACATTCTTTACTCTGCAGCTATTTGAAGACAGAAATCCATTTCGCCTTCCTCTGCTCGCTGATACAGCCAGCAACAATGGAAACTATTTTCAAATCAAAACTAGTTTCTTACCAAAGTTCATATGGAAAAATAAGCTAGACCAATTGAACAGAAGTGTGGTCTTTCCCGTTTCCTCGGTTGTGTCTTTGCTGTTTCTTCAGCTCCCCAACAATCCTCAGGATTAAACGGGCTCTAACGAGCTATGCAGGACTATTTCTGCTGCAGCCATGATGCAGTATGAAAGCATTTGTTTCTCCCAGCAGAAGTCGCGACAGGAGGTTGTTTCTGTTTAGTTGAACAGCAGACAGGAAACTTGAGCTTGTTTACAGGGAGGATTACAGAGCAGGATTGTTCCTGTTCGTCTTTTTTTTTTATCAATTCAAGAACAACAAAAAATTAAACCCTCTAGCACAACAACAATTTTAACAGTTTTTCGATGCCATGGGGCAGGGTGGAATGCAGGCTTAACCGAGAGAGGGTGTGTGTTACAGGCAGCATGTGGACAGAGCCCCAGATCTCAGCACACTGGCCAGACAGGGTTTGATCAGCTGACTGACGCAGTAAACCGCTGCAGAGGACGATCCAGTGCAGCTGAACATGAGGGAGCCCCCATGAAGGCGAAAGCTCAGCCGGTTTGCTCAGGAATTCCAGGACAGGGAGGGAGGGCTCCAGCAGAGACACCTACCCTGCGTGCATGAAGATGTAGCTGAGGTAGCGCCAGGCCTGCGCCCGCAACTGGGGGTGGTACACTAGCGCCCCCTTCAGGAACAGGGGGTGGGAGACCTGGAGCACCCAGCGATCCAGCAAGACCCCGTAGTACACGAACACTGCCACCTGCGGGGCAGAGGGGCAGAGTCAGCACACCTACAAAGCAGAGCCAGCGGCGCAGTATTTCAGGCTTGTCGCCTGGTCAGGGGA